GAAGTCATGTGGTATACACATCAGATTTTTTAGTCTTATATGCGTGTAATTACTTTTTGATGAAGCCGGAAGACTAAATTACAGTGAAACTTTCTGTGGCGACCATTCACAGTTCCAGAGGAGTTTGATATTCTGTGGACATAGTCGTCTTAGGCTGCGCTCCCACTATGGTTTAAAATATCCCTAATGTCGTTGTCATAAGTTTTGAACACCATAGGAGCTGTCACAACGGCAAAAGCTCGGTGGAAATTTATTATCTAAATTGACGCGAGTTACAGAAAGTTAATCGTCCATGTATATGATATCCACCTGAATTTTTGGTGAAATCTATATACGCGGAAATGCATGAATATACTTAGTTAACAAATTACAATCTTCTCTCCATCTCAATGGAAACTCACCAGCTGACGAGCAGTAAGATCTGCTGGTTCACATCTCGGTGAATGGGCTGGCTGCATGAGTTTTTGTGGTATTTCCCATATATAATGTGATTACACAACAGTATTCCTTCGAAAGGTTTTCACGAAAGCATTTTCGCCTTCTGCAGTAGCTTATTTTAAGTCTGCAATAATCTAAATAACCCAGCCTCTTCCCAAACAGTAAAACATTACCAAATTTTACCTTTTACTACTGTGAGAAGGAAATAAAATGCTAGAAGTTTTCAAATCGCTAATTTCGAACATGATGACATACAGTTTGCGGTGATTTGGTTAATTTCTTTCTTGTTATCATTCTTGGCATAAATGGGCTTTTCAGTTCCAAATTTTGTTTTGACTTTTGATGACATAAAAAAGTATCATTAACTTCTATCGAAATTCTATTTGTCACTATCATAATATATACTATAGGGTGAATACTTCCTTAGGAATATAGGATGAATACTACCGCTGTTGTCCATTACCATTATTCGATTATGTTTTCGGAAGTACTGATTTTTCAGAAGTGGTTTATCTGAAGGGAGTGGTAGTCATGTGAATTTTGACTGTGACTACTTATTAAATGCCATTACAACAATTATACGTTGAGCGGAAACGAAATTATAGTATTTCAACTATCAGGGTGTTCTCGAACAAAATTGAAATGGAGCTAGGTAAAATCCTTGTTTCGCCAGAGGTGCTCAAGGAGAAGAAAATAACAAATGAATTCATTATTCCTGAAGTTATTATAGATGTGTTCGTTAGAAAAAGGGGTTGAGCACAAGAACTTTCACATTAATGTAATTAAAATTTCCCACTGATAATCCAGTACCTTATTTCGATTGTGACTTACAGGGCTAAAGTTACATTTAATAACTGAAAAAGTCACTAATTGTAAATATTTCATTACCACTGTGAGATGTTACTATTTACAAATAGCAAAGAAATTAAATATTGACAAATATTATTATTACTGCATTACTGTACATTCAGAATTCAAATGCGGCAAATTTGATTACTAATTTCTATAATAATTTATAAAGTAAAATATGAATTCCCTGTTTTTTTTTTTACTCAAGAATTAATGTAATAAAGAAACAACAGGGAATTGCAGTAGGAATTGCTCTATTTGATTAAAGAATTCAGAAAATAACTTAATGAATGAAAATTTTTTGAAATTATTGAGCATTCTCTTATAATACATGGCTGTTCGAAATACCCCCATATGCGGTCAGGTCGTAAATTTACAATCCCTTTTTTTAGGGGGAGACCTGACAAGGAGGGGACAATCTTGCTCCAGATCTTTTGAAAATGTGGGGGTTGTTTAAACATCTAACTTCTCTACATTCAGTTTTATACAGAGGAAAATACAAATTGAATTCTTCGAATGAATGCAATTTTGTACAATGAAAATGTATTACTTAACGATAAACTGTAAGATAAATAACATCTTTTTTAAAGCCATAAGTGTAGAAAGACAGATATTTGTTACACGAATGAATTTGTAGTAAATATTGAGTTTTTCATTTTGAATGCTATGTTCCATGTATGCGAAGTAACTGAGTATGTGAGATAATAGTCATAACCGAATGGCTTTCAACCTTTTCACGGCTAAGGACTGTTTCTCAATTACATTGTGGTCGCTGCTTTTTGGTTAATTTTCTAATGACATATAACCAATAATTGTTTTTATTTGAGACTTATGAATAAAATAACGCAAACTAGACTGCAGAAAATTCTTAAGAATGAAGTTAAATAATACTGAAAAATACATTATTGATGCACTTTTGGGTTTTATATGTAGTAGTATTAACTACTACTATAATCCTTAAATGGAATCCTTAAATTATATATATATATATGTATATGTATATATAAATGGAATCAAATATAGAACAAGGTATAAAATATTTTTATTATACAATGTTCATTACCATACCTATATTTACGTAATATCAATATAAATAGTTAGTTAGGTTTCGTACATATATAATTTATTTTTATATTTTCTATTTTTTGTATTAGATTCAGTATTGTATACGTATCTAAAGTTTAATTTTACTTGTTCTCTTTTTGGGTTACGACTTTAAGTGAGAAAGAATTGTTAGGGCCATCATAGGGATTACATTATGTACAATCAGTCAGGATCCGACTTTTCTTTTCTTTTAATCATTATATATATTTAAATACTACTTGATAAGTATACATAAAATATAGCAGTTTTTTTAAGCTACTTATTTATATATCTATTGTTGTTTGTCTTGTTTTGTTTGATTATAGCAAAGCATTCGACGGTTATTTGCCTAAGGGTAAGGGTGCCTCGTGGAGAACTTTCGAAGCAAAACTGACTCTTATGCACGTTACACGTGGGGAAAACCTCGAAAACGCCAATACAGCCATTACCGTCGATCCGGATTCGAACCCCGGATCGACCTGCCAGAGTTCAACGACTTTACAGCTCAGCCGCTCGTGAGCCACACACACACACACACATCCACACATATACATTAAATAGTATTTACATGTCGTTTATAAAGTATAATTGAGTGCAATTTAATCATAAAGAGTTAGAAAATATTCTACGGAATTACTTCACTTCGTAGACTTTTTGTTAAGCTTCACCATATTTCTTAAAGAGAATCTCAATGCTAGTTCCATTTCCAAGCTGTTTATGTACCTTATTTTTCATGCTTTGAATTATATTTAGAAAATTATTTCACTTAATTATAGCTGAAAATGCAGTTTTTTATATTGAAGAATTTAAGGGTAAGAAGAGAGTTATGCCATTTTCTAATTATTCTTGAAGCATTTAAATTTTTTTAAAAAAAGCGCATATTAATACGGATCACTGAACTAAAGTGCTCGATACAGGACAGATTAATTAGCTACTAAATTTTGATTTTCATTGAGTAAAAATGAATTCATCTGCATTCTATAAGAAAGTAAACATTCAAAAAATGTTTTTTTTCCTATTCTCGCAATCATAATATTTTTCTTAAATATTCAGCTAATTCATATTCAAATATTCCAATCCATTACAATTAGTAATAAATCGATACAGTAAATAAATAATTAAAATCAATTAAATGGAATTTTAATTGATTTTAATTACCATTTTCCCTCTGATAAACCCCTCTTTAGAGTTTAATAGCAGTCGATCAGCTTTTGTTGGGGTTGATTTTTCTTTATGGTATGCTTACGCTATATATGTATGTATTATGCATTGCTCATACTCGTCAATTGCAGCTTTTAATATATTTTGGAAAAAAATCAATATGAGAATCCAGAAAATGATTCTCAGCGACGCTAAAACTATTATTACTGGGCACTGTCATGCCACAGTGTTTTTAAAAAAAAATCCCATTGTTTAAAGGTAGATTCTATGCTCATATCCTAGTCTAAAATTAAAAGCTGCGAGTCAAAATTAAGGGGGTTGCTCTTAGAAAGCCTCAATTAGAAGTAGTTATATGAAATGTTAATCAATACTTATAATCTTACGGATTAAATACTTATTCGCTATTTGATCACGTGTATGGCAAACAGATTTTCGTCATTCATAAAGAAAAGAAAGGTGAATCAAAATGAGTTTTCAAGCCCTATTGCATACATTAGCAATACTTATTCTCGTAATAACATATACGTATGTGTTATTCTCTTTGTAATTTTCAGTACATATATTTATATTTATAATTAAGAAATCTTTTGAAAGCAGCGTCAAACAGCTGTGAAAATTATATTTTAAAATTATTATTTAGAAATGCGCTTATAATGTTTTTTATATTTACGAAAGATACTTCCCGTTTACTCAGGCTCACTGTATTCAAGTCGATAGGACCAATTGAATGGAAAGATCGATTTGTTAATTCATTTCCAAGTTTCAAATCGGATGAATGGACTCGCGAATAAAATGGCACATTAAAATACGGTCACTGAACTACAGTGAGCTATGAAAATGTTAACAAAGGTTTCGTACTTTATATTATGAAAACAAAATATCAGAATCTAATTAAATGTTTCACTTATTAGAAAAATAGAAAATATAAATATTTGTGAATAAAAAGAAATTATCTTTAAAAAAATAAAATTTAAAGGAAAAAATAAAAGAATTACAAAATATTGCAGAAATTACATAAAATAGCGAATAAACTTATTCGGCACAAGCTCGCTAAATGTAAAACAGATTGTACAGTCACAGAAAGCTCGCCTTGTCACACAAATGTACTGTTCATCGGGTTTAAAGGACTAATGTGCGAAGTTCAGTGAGTAAGTTGTATTTTCCTTTGAATGTATAAACTAGCCAAAAAACACTTTTTTTAAAAAAAATATATCTCCCCTTATGATCCCTGACACAGCGGTTTACTTTCCCCTTCCCTAATTAATGTCAGTCTCCTGCTCTTGACCGCATTTGCCAAGCCACCGGCTGTTCATGATAGCTTATTAAACTTTGATAGAATGTACTTTTTTAAAAAACAATTAAAACTTGTTTGTTACTTGTTACCTATTTTTTAAGTAAACAAGGACATACTTTTTATATTGTAAATAAATATTTTTTCCCGTAAAAGCAATAATTAAAAATACTTTTACCAAGTCTGGAAGACTTTGCGCAAATTCTTGAGACTTCTTGAGACTTTGCGCAAAATTTGAAAAGCAGAACAAGAACTGAAGCTTACCTGGAAAGAAAAAAAATATATAATTAATTAATTGTTTTAAAAACATAGTAACTTTAATCATTAACTTACAAAGAAATTTCTTATAAAAGAAGAAAAAAAGGAAATTTACTTATAAAGAAGAAGAAAGAATTTTATAATAAATTTTCAAAATAATTGTATTCAAATAAAATTATACATTTTATAGGAACTGGACTTTTAGAGCAATAGCGCTGAGTGGCTCGGTCAGTGACCTCTGTCAAGAGGTATTAACCCTATATTTCTTCAAGATACAGTTCAGGCTGGCGGAATTTGTCTTATGTTTTTTTGGCCATGGTCGGAATTATGTCCATTCTTTATTACGTCCTCCACATCCTTTGGAGTCCCCGTAATGAGTCTGAGATACCTACATCCTTTTATGTTCATCTATTTTCCTGGCGGGGGGGGGGGAACTTACAATATAACACAGTGGTCTCAAACTGAAATAGCATTTGGGCTGAATGCACAGCCTGGAAGCAGATGAAGGGACGGATCTTTTTTTTAAAAAAATGAGTTAAAAAAATTAACACAGTTTTTTAACTAAATTTAAAATATCACTAATTCAATATTTATCGAAACATACAGAAATAATAATAATAATAATAATGCAACGAAAAAATTGAAATTGAAATTTATTTCCTATTTGAAAACTGAATTTTGATACGTGCAAGAAACTTCGGTAGGTTACACATAGTAATTTAAACCAATTGATGGTTAAATATTAAATTTTCATGCTGACGGTCATTTAAAAAATTCAAGTTATTTATTGTATAATTCAGTAATTTAACCACTAAATAAATTACTTTTAGCTTAAACCAAAATAAGCAAATTACGAAACATTTTATAAGTTTTCTGAAAAAATTTTCCAAGGCAGACATAAATTGAGAATGAATAATTGTCTTTCTTTTATGTATTAAATTTTCCTTCAACGCATACGGAAAAATTACATATGTTGTTACGTAAATAATTACAAACTTCCTTATTTTTTACGAAAACTTGACACTTGATGACGTTTGGGTTCTGATAAAATTTGTAACCTTAGCGTAAAAATGATTTTTTTGATATCATTACAGTTAAAATACACAATTTTACTGGGCATAAATTAAAAAAGTACATAATTTTCTATTTATCTAAAAAAAATCCCGTTTCGTACATTTTTTAACCCTCTGTTAAAGACATAGCTTGTGTAATTTAAATTAAATTGATTTAATCTCTTAATTAAAATCCCTACTATAATTTTATTTACATCTTTAATTCGACAAAACGAACCTTCGTATAAAGCAATATTCAGACGTTATGCACAATTCCAAATGATAAGTATTGATGTAAGGTACATCTAACAGCAAACACGAACACATACATAAAGTTTTATAAGCTGTAACGGTCAGTTTGTCTCCATCTATAGAGCAATATGAACTGCACAATTCTGAATCCAGAGAGCCAGTTAATCATTGATTCAAGTAAAATATATATCAGAAGCATCAGCTCGATAGAAAACACCACACTATTAAAACACCACCAACTGTAAGTTGGCGAACTAAATTTACTAATGGTATAGGCGTTAAAAGTTTTTCACGTATCCCAGAATATGTGACAAAGACAAGGCCCGACCCTATTTATTCTATATCTTTTCCCTTTCAACATCAATCGAGTACATAAACTTAGTCCATATTTCTGTGTCTCTAAAAGTGTAAAGGTATCGTATTTACGACAAGTACATGATCTTAAATGTATTCGCGGCCCATGCAAAATTGCTTTGGGTGTCTGCGAATTCGAGACCATTGATGGAGCATATCACCAATATTTGATTGCTGCTAGCTGCAAGAATACTCTATGGACATTCTCATCGTGAGCTGGACTTCGCAGTCCTCCGACATGAACCCTTTGAAGTATTCATGAGTTCTGAAACTAGTTAATGAATAATAAATCCATCTTCATCTTAAATAATTAAGTTATGGAATACACAACAGGGTTTATGGGCAGCCTTATGCGTGCTGAATGATTTCATCGTTTCATTATTTTCATGCCCTTAGATACCTAGATGTTGTTAAGACTAGAGAAGACCGAAAACTTCTGAACTCCTATCCCACGATTTTTGATTTTTCAATGTATTTCAGCAAATTGTTTAAAATATCTGTTGTTAATTTGGGTACCGTCTGGGCGGTGCAACCCAGATGGTATAGTGGATAGGGGAAGTTTACTGCGATACAGAAGCGTTCGGGATCGAATCGCGGAGAAGGCATGCCTATAATTTTCCGCCCCTTAATAGGAAGTAACGGTGGCCCACCTATTAGTTGCTTAGGCCCACTACTTCCGGCCTTAGTAGTGGCCAAGCGTAAGTCGGCTAAGTGCCCACCAATGAGGGGAAAAAATTCTGGGTGGTGTTAAATGAACATACGATGATGGGTGTAAAATTACTGATTTTCATGCAATGATGTACCACATTATACAAATGAGTAGGGAGAAGAGGTTGGTTGGATAATTTAACATGACTGGAATTACAAGGGACATGTTGTTATACATAATGTCACCCCAAAAAGGTTTAAATGTGATTGGATCACTTAAAACGGCAAATTAGGCAAAAACAATGTTGGGGATTCAGAATCTTCCACACGCTGATGCTTGAAGGTGACGCCGACTCAGGAAATTGCAAAAAAAAATCGGTTTTGCGGTTGGCATTTCGTCCCCATCACAGCACGCATTTTACTAGAAATATTTATGAATAGTTTTTGAGAACGGTTTCTATTGCAGAATAGAGGATTTCCGTACAAAATTAATTTTGATGCAAATATTTACTGCTCTTTTATTTGTCTAGTCGAATACGATTACTGTCTAAAGGAAACCATGCCTTCTTGGATGACATTTTAAGGAATTCTTGCTTATTTAATATAAGTAACATTCGTTTGTTTTTTTGTTTAGTCAAACACAGCGAGAGCTATTTGCCTAAGGGAAAGCCTAAGGAATATATTCTTGGAGGAAATAAGGGACGCTTGGTTGTAATCACGCTGCACATGTCTCTATTCATATTAAGAAAGCTAAATATTAAAATCATAGCACCATTTGTATTTAGAATAATTTGCATCATTGGATGGAGGGGAAGGAAACTGAGAATTCTTACTAGTCATACATAGTTTTTTACATATTCAGTTATCTCACATTTTACATAGATCCGTACGAAAATCATTATAATGATATCAGTCAGTAGCTCAGTAGGCACAGATCAGTGGGAATATCATCATAATGATGTCAGTCTTCTACTCTACGTCAGATCTGCTGCCATTAAAAATGTGTCATCACTAAACGAAATTTAATTTTGTTGCTAGAAATATATTCGAAGCAGAAGTTTACCAATTTACAAATGTGGCGCAGAGATGAAAAGATTACTAACTCATATTCAGAAAAATTCACCATATGAATTTCAAAATTTTCTTCTCAAAGCTATTTTCTAACGACCGGCGTATTACTTCAATAAAATAATAAAAAAATTTTTTTGGAGCAATCCCCAGGAAATTTTAAAACTGTTCACTGTCCTATTTTTATGCCACTACGTATAAAATACAGAAAAGAAATTCCGCCTTCATTTCTTGTTATATTGGCGGTCCGATTTTCACGTAGCTGCGATTCCCGCGCCCTGAAACGCCTGAGGAAACACTGGGTATAAAATAAACTCTAAATTCTCCGTTCGGCTCCAACAGACAGAATCTCAAGATTTCTCCTAACTGCTTGCATTTCCATCTGACATATGTAAGATTCGTGGCATTATCGTTTTTTCATTTTATTTTTATTTTATTTCATTTTTTTATATTTTCATTCTTACTTTTTCTTACATTTTTGGTGGGTTGAACTCGGCGAATCGTCAAGTCAGCAAACATATCTTTCGAGTGAAAAGGAAATTGAAAACCTAAGCAGAAATTTAAATTCAGACGGAGCTTTTTCGTTGGGGCATACATATTTAAATTCGCGGGCTTCAATGATTGAAGAAGGAAGAAGGAACTCCTCCTCCCCTCCACGCCGGTCAAACGTAGGAAATATTTTCTGCCTTACACATGGCACAGTAACAGACGTTAATGGCGCCAGAAATGATCTGAGTGATTATACCAATGACGAGGAGAAACCATTTATGACAATGAATGGTCGTTGTAGAATGATTAAACGATGTCTGCCTCTATTTTTTTTAAATCTTTAGCGCTTATTTCGGTTGAGAAAAACACGACTCACTCGAAAATGTAATGCATTCTTGCTCGGTGACTTACTTCCTTCTTCAGTGAGAATTGTGACATTTCTCTGTTCTCATTAGCATCTAAAGGAAATGTTTTTTATCCCTTCCGTGATTGTACATATGCGTATATATGTGCATATAAGGTGCGTAGATACGTTTAAAAGAATAAAAATAGAAATTAAAAAAAAATATTAACCCCAGAGTTCCATTTTTGCTTAGAGCAGCATTTCTCAATCTGTGGTCTTAGGACCACAAATAATCCTTGAAGTCTACTCTTGTGGTCCTCTTAAATCTCCGAAAATGATAAAAAATAAAAGTGAAACTAATTGCGCATACTACCCTGAAGTTGAAAAGTTCACGAGTTTGCAAACTAAACATGGCAAGCATGTAGCATTTTTTCCTCCCAAGATTGACATTTTCTGAAATTTGTTATCGATGTTTTTTCTCACTCTAGTTTTACCAACAAAAGAGTGATTTAAAGCACTGTGACTATGATGCATTTTACCAGTATACGTCCAAACATAGAGCAGCTATGTAAGAATAGCCGAACTCATATAACTCATTGTTAGTACCAACACTAATTTAATTTTTAGTTAAAAACAAAGATTATCCTTACTCTACTTACAACTGATAAAAAATTAAAACTATTTTAATTAATTGTATTTAAGAAATATAAAATACTGGTACTAACATGCGCTAAAAATCTGCTTTCGAGGGAGACAGGAGTAAGTGGTTCGCAAAACATTCTAATTCTTAAAAATGCTCG